GAGGTTTGGTTTTTTTGGTTTTTGAGAGACTGAGACACGCAGAGACGGCAACGCGGCTGTTTGATTGGTGAGCGCTTATTCCACTTATTCCATTTGTTCGTATCATATCGTAGCCTATGGTTTAAATCATTGCCTTTTAAATATATACAAATAATAGAACGTGTATGATGTATTATTATAGGTGATATTACTCTTGCCAAGCTCTGATTTCTGAGAGATGCACAGAGAGGCAACAGCAGTGCGGTGTTTGATTTGCGTTCTTTTCATTCATAAAGTTTACATTCATTCACTTCACACTCTATTGCGTGACTTTAGAGGTCTGTGTATAATATTACGCTGATCCCCTGGCTCAACTGTTATCTAGCAAACACCAGACTGTGCCAGCCTCAGCTGAATTTTCAGGCAGAATTATTCCTTGTCCGTTATTCGTTTTTTGAAGCCATTATCCGTTCCATTCCAAATAAGGTATTCGGCTTCGGGCACACCCCTAATTATTACATTACATGTTTTAATTTTACATGCAACATAGATAAAGTCATAGAAAGTAACAGCTACACGCAAAATTGGAATCCAAAAATTCACGTCGTACTTGCAAACTTATGGTTAATGCATGCTCGAGTAGTCGATTGTTTCCGACAGCGCCGACTAGTGGTTGAAGTAGTCGATCACTCGACTACTCGACTAGTCTATGCAAGCCCTAGTATATATGATATATTTGTATATTTAAAGTCAAGTGGAAAAAAACATTCAGTTGATTTTCATTTCCTTGAATCAGTTAAAAGTGTTTCAGTGAGTTTATTCAAAACTGTAATTCAGTAATTAATTTGCATCATTACTGTAAAATGTTCACTAAACACCTCATGTAAATATAGGTTGATTAATATTGCTGATAATTATAAATAAAATGCAAATAATGAAATATATTTTCCTTGTGTTCATTTAGTAAAAAGGTAATTGGCAACCCAGATTTTACAGTTTTACTTGTAATTTTTAATACATTTATTACTATGTAATTGGTTTGACTGAAATGTTTTTAAATTTATTGGGGAAAAAACACCCTTTTGAATATTAGATTTATATTGAATTTTGTCAAAAGGCTAAAAAACATAGAAGAATTTGATATATTTGATATCTATCTTGAATGGTATGCTAAAGATTTCAAATATTTGTCTTTACATTGTTGTCTACCATCATAAATTGCTTGATTGCAGTGATGAGACAGAGTTTATATTGGTTGTTTTGTGAATATATATATATATATATATAT